TTTATACAGAGGAGTCTGGTATGTCACAGGTGATTGAGGTTGGGATAATCAAAGGTTTAGCAGTTGATCATGTCCTGTAATTTTTAAATCTTATGTATTAATTATATGATGCAAATTTGAATTAAATAAAAACATTAAAATTTCAGTTAAAATTAAAACTTGCTTAGCTTGAAATATATGAATGGAGCAGATATGTAATGGCAAGCTTCAGTATCAGATAAGTAAACAATATAAAAGTTTTCTGTGTTGAGAACTAATAATAATAATTTATTAAACTTGTATGTCCCCTGACTCTCAGTGACTCTGGACAGCTCACAATAATCAAAGAAATTAGAATAAAATCAATAAAAGATAAAGATAAAAGATGGTAAGCGTGATGAAATGAGTCTCACTCTCCCTCACCAAAGGCCTGGATGAAGAACTACATTTTCACAGTTCTTCTGAACAACAGCAGACTGGGGGCCATCTGGATCTAGGGGGGAACCTCCTTCAAGAGGGCAGGTGCTGCTTCAGAGAAGGCACACTTCCAGGGTCCTGATAGATGATATTGTTTAAGCAAAGGAACCCAGAGTGTGCCAACCGTGTATGATCAAACTGGCTGAGCAAATGCTATGGGAGACAGGTGGTCCCTCAAGTAACCAGGCCCTATGCCATGTAGGGCTTTATGGGTAACAACCAACACCTTGAATCACACCCGGAAGCAAACTAGCAACCAATGCAGCTTGTGAAGGAGAGGTGTTTCATGGGCATACCGAGGCATCCCCATTGCTGCTTGTGCTGCCACATTCTGGACCAGTTGAAGCTTCTGGGTGGTCTTCAAGGGCAGTCTCATGTAAAGTGCTGCAGTAGTCAATCCACGAGGTGACTAGGGCATGAGTGACTATCTGAAGGGCCCCCCAACCTAGGAAAGAGCACAACTGGCACACCAGATGGAATTGTGCAAAGGCCTTCCTGGCCACAGCTGACACCTGCTCTTTCAAGCAGGAGCTGTGAGTCCAGGAAGATCCCCAGACTACATATCAACCTTGAAGGGGGAAGTGCTACCCCATCAAAGGTCAAAGATGGAATATCTCCAGATCTGGGTGGCCAGATACACAAATACACAATTACTTGGTCTTGCTGGATTGAGTTGGAGATGTTCCTCCCCATCCAAACATGCACAAGTTCTAGGCCAGTGTTTCTCAACCTTGGCAGCTTGAGGATGGGTGGACTTCAACTCCCAGAATTCCTCAGCCACCTTGACAGCCTCACCTGGCTGGCCCCATGTCAACAGATATAATTGCATATCCTCAGCATACTGATGATACCAAACCCCAAACTGGTGGATGACCTCACCAATGAAATACACCAGGAAGTGAACAAGAAGATGTAGATGTCACAAAATAAGTTGAGGAAAGGTAAGCTGATGCATATCTACACATACATTATCAGAAAAAAATTGTACAAATCACACTTGGCTATATCTTACTGTGAGTGCCATTAATCTTTGGTGTTTTGGCTTAACATGTGGAATACAGCTATTATGGTTTATAATTTATTAAGTATCTTGGCTAATAATTTCTGAAAATTACTTTCAGAAAACATACTGTGTGTACAGTATTTTTGGAGTTTTCAGAAGTATAGTCATACGTTTTGGTGTTTATACAATGTACTTTGCCCTTATTTTTATGTTGCTGGTATTAGTTGATCAAGTCGATGTTACAACATCTTTAAAACTACAGAACAAGAATACAGTCTTATCCTTTAGCAGACACTGGGTTTGAAAAAATACTAAGTTTTGACTGAGTATTTAGTTCAAGATACTGTATTAATCAAAATATCTAAGTTTCTTCACTCTTTATTTTCCAGCTGCTGCATTGCAAGTGATTATAGTATATTAAAATGTTCCTATAATATTGAATTCATTGTAGGTGTAGTCCTATGTAGGCAAGTTACATTAGCTGAAGAGCTATAAAAATGGATTTGAATCAGCTGATCAAAGGATGTCTTTCCATCAAATCAGGAGTCGGCATCAAAGGTAGTGACTTGTGGAAGAATGGAAAAGCCAGTGGGACCAGCTGCCTTTGGCTATGTGCATGGTTCAGTGGGGAGAAGAGAGTCAGCAACACTGCATGTTTCCCTCTCAGTCATGCCTCCACAAAATGGCTTTTCCTACTAAGAACTGTCCACGGTTCAGAATACAGTGGTACCTCAGGTTACGAATTTAATCCGTTCCGTGACTCTGGTCGCAACCCGATAAGTTCGTAAGCAGAGGCGTTCGTAACCCGAGGTACCATTGTAATCAGTAGGTGACCTTTCTCTGCCAGAAATCCCCATAACAAGCACCCATTTTCATCTTCCTGCCCCTTGGAAACAACACGCGTGTCTGTA